GCACCAAAAATTACCAAGCAGTTAATTGGCAAAGATGCCATTAGTAGGGAAAACCAGCAACTATTTTTGGAAGTTCTGGTCAAGGAACTGGACTATTGCATCGGAACTGCCCATAATATCTTAAAACAGATATTCTAACATGGACAAGCTATGCATGCAATAAATGACTTAGATGCTAAGAGCTGAGTACAAGATGATGTACTATAATGTAGTCTTCAAAGCATTTTTGCCGAAAACGAATTCTTGGCATGTAACATCATGAAGAATGAAATATTAATGCATCATTATAACCTTGAACGTAAGCAACCTTCAGAATGAGAGAAAGAAGTTATCCAAGAACGTTTTAAAGTTAACATTTTCATAAGAGATTTCAAGCTTCTTATCAGGTATCTGGTAGATGCATTAGGTTATTTCGAAGCAGAAGACATGAAAAATACGCAATGCACTAAGACCCGAACCTCAGACATCTCGAATACGCGCCAAGCGTGATGACATGCTAAGGTATGCTAAGAAGGCGGGAGAAATAGCTTACAAATTTAATTTCTTTAAAAATGGGGCTCTGTAATTTCACTGAAGAAGCAACTTCGAAATATCAAATATTTTTCAAAAGGAAACTACAATCATGTATTTACAAATTAATCAGAATGAAATTCCTAGATGCAGTTGCAAGATTTGTAAATCACTCTACTCAATAAAAGTGATTGCACATTATTTTGCAAATTTATGAGTCAAGAGTAGTATTGGCCCCACTGCGGAGGCGGAAGTGACGTCAGAGGTCACGTGACCGGAAGTGCCGCCATTTTGTTGAGTGAGTTGAGTTGAGTAGAAGTGTTTGTTTTGAAAGTGGAAGTAGAAGTGCATGGAGATTTTTAGGATTTAGGTATTTTGGATGGCAACGAGGATTTGGGGGGAAAGTTTCGTTTTGATTTTGTGGCAGCGACGATTTTACCTTGAACCACGTGTTTGGGGAAATATCCCTTTTTAATTATTTAAATCTAACAATTGAATATTAATTTATTTTTAATCTAACGATTGAATATCTAACGATTGAATATCTATTTATTTTTAATCTAACAATTGAATATTAATTTATTTTAATCTAACGATTGAATATTAATTTATTTTTAATCTAACGATTGAATATCTAACGATTGAATATTAATTTATTTTAATGGTTTGATAATAGTTTAATTACCGTAATTGCTTAATTATAAAAATATGTTTTATCATTCTTCTATCTGCCGCCATTTTTTAATCACACGGTCTTTGTCCGCCATTTTGAATGATTCACTTCATCTGCCATTTTGTTTTCTCCTCGTATTCCGTATTGTACAGTAACTCATGCTTGATTTTATTTTTAATGGAAGAATTATTTTTCATTTACGTTTAAAGGGGGATAATTTTTAAAATCTATTTATTTCTTAAATATATGTTACTACTGGCTCCATCTAGTGTACAAAATGTTTAATAAAAGATAACATGATCTTAAAAAAATGAAGAGGTAATAAATTTTTCTCAGATTCGAACTCGCTATCTTAAGGATTCATAAAAAAAAAAAAAAAAAAAAAAAAAAAAAGAGAGACTGAGGGGAACCGCATGAAAATTCCTTAAGCGATACCCCACAATCTCTTGGTTGAAAATTCTGTTAATTATGTCCATAAGGTTTTTACGTGTATCGCCATGATGATTTTCTGAATCCGCCATTTTGAAAAAAGCAGTGGAAAAGGAACACGACATCACACTGAAGAATGCAATTTTTAAGTTCTTTGTGACAGAATTCTTTCTTAGGGCTAACAATACATGCTGACCTTGGACATTTTGCTTTGACATAGTTTCGTCAAGGCCGTAAGCGACCAAGTTGAGGCTTGGAGAGATAGTTTTGTCCTTGTTGAAAAATATCGTTTTAAACTAACTGCTGGTGATTGGCAACAGTTGCAGTTCATTATTTAGGATCGAATAATGGCAACATGATATTTTGCATGTATAAATGCAGCAGCGACTGCAACAGCGTGTTCATAGATTTTGAGACTACTTTTTTTGCGTGAGTAGGAAATTTTGTACCAATAATGGCTAAACGATCGTTTGATGAAGTAAGTGGAATTTTTTATGCACTTGTATTTTTAATTTATTAATCAATTTAATTCCTAATTAATAAACAGAGTAATTCCTTTTTTGCGCAGTTTAAAAAAAATCAAGATTCTATTGATTATGAAGATTACTTGAGCGATAGCGAGGTAAATTTAAAATAATATTTTATTTAAAAAAGTATTAAGTTAGAAATGCATTTATGATGTTTTAAGTGAATACAATGATATTTCTGCATTTAGTTGTTGAGTGAAACGTCTCAGGAATTTATTGAAAATCCTCTTGATGGCATGGAAAACTGTTTGTCTGATTTAGAAAATGAGGTTAGTTTTATGATCATTAAAATGGTAGATAATGTACATTGTTTGGATAAAGATATTTTACAATCATGAGTATACTTTTTTTTTTTTTTTTTTTGTTTTTTAAGATACCATGCGTTTAACACGTGGTTTCCTTGTCCATACAAAAATCTGTTTAATTCATTTACGATACTGCGTGTTCAGCACGTGGGAGTCATTAGAAAATATGTTTAAGTTATTAATTTACGATATTATGTATTCAGCACGAATTAAAATTTGTTTAATTAATATATAATTTGAATTTAGAGCTAAATCTAGTCAAGGTTTTTTTCTTAAACCTTATTTATACCGTATGATGTGTTGTGGTTAATGAAAAGGAGATAATTTTTTCGTTTGATAATCTGGGATGCCTGTTTAACAATATGGTTAACAAATTTTTTTTTTCATCATTTGCGTGCTTATTTTTTAGTTATGTTATAAGAAATGCCGGACTGATGTGGATGTAGCAGGCCCATCAGGCGTTAATGTTTTTCATGGAAAAGAAGATGAAATGATTGATTCACGTTTTTCCGATGACGAAATAGTAAGTTTACTCTTTAAAGCAAGAAAGGATTTCGTTAATATCCTTAAATTAGTTCAAATAATTTTGTTAAAGATTTCGTAATGAGTTCTAAGAATCTACTTGCTGATATTTTTTTTTTTTTTTTTTTTTTTTTTTTTTTTTAGTTAGGTGAATCGACCCAGTTCTTTCTAGAAAATACATTAGCTCCCTATCCTAATCAAAGTGGATTGGGTTTGGAGGTAATTATCACCTTTTCTCAAGTAGTTAATTTTTTCCTAAAATATATTATAGAGATTTCGACACATGATACTTTTTTTTCAAACTTACTTTATTCAAATTAGGATATTTCAAATGATTTTGCTGTAGAAGATACACTAAATGCAGGAAATAATATGGCTGAAGATTCTTCAAGGAACGCTTCAGTAAGTCTGTTCTCACTAACTAATTCACTATTAAATTAAATAATTATATTCTAGTATGTCTAAATTCCATTGCAAATAAAAAACCAATGAAATGCTGCAGAAAATGCATACTGAATGTAAATTTTATCCTTAGTTAAACCTGCCGTATATTTTGACGGAAGCAAGAAGAAAAACGAATCGTCGCTTTAATGCTACAGAGGTCACTTACCAAGCTAGGATAAATCATTCACAACTTCCAGAACCCTTAAACCACGGGTTGTTGAGAGAAGAAATGATTTTTTTGGAAGCTTTACTAAGCGCAGTAATACAAGAAGCGGCACAAAACTTAAATAATGATGATTTAATTAGGTAAATCAATTACTTATATCGCAATGAGAAATAAATTTGATCTTCTTTTTAGTATGTTTATTATTATTATTATTATTATTATTATTATTATTTGGTAGAATTTGCATGCACAGCGATTATTTGGACCGACCCATTTCAACATGCTTGGTTCCCGTCAGAGACTTGACAGTTGAATTAATTTTATCCTCCATAATGAAAGTGTTACAGGTAAAAATTTACCTTAACTAAATAATTATATTCTTTATTAAATTAGTTACTTTAGTAAATACTAATATTGCTTTATTTTTGCACTGAAGGATCTAAGAAATTATTATTTTTTAGATTAAGATTTATTTTATTATTTGCATGCTAACTTTTCAGAGTAAAGACCATATACCTATAGATGATCCATCTTTAAAATTTGATGTAATTACGATAAGAAATCCTAGAGGTGGTGCCCATCATAAGCTGGTTAATGTTGATACTGATGGATTAAAGAAAATCAGTATAATATCTATACCTTCAACAGATGAGAACTTGTGTTGCGCGAGAGCAATAATTGTTGGTAAAGCAAAATTAGAAAATCATCCCCAGTTTAAATCGATTCGGGATGGCCGAAGAGCCTTACAACGAAATATGGCACTGAAACTACATGCTGAGTGTGGAGTAAATTTAGGACCATGTGGTTTCGAAGAATTAGAAAATTTGAAGATTATCTTGACATACAAGTACGTGTGGTTTCTACATGTGGTTTCTGCAGATGAGTTTAACAAGGTAAGTGTTCGTTTATGTTAATTAATCTGCCATTCATTTTCATTAATTAAATTTCGATATTCTAATGAACTCTAATGAATCTTACCTACACGAATTTTTTTTTATTTTTATTTTTTTTAGGTTATCTATCGAGGGCCATTGCGTTCTGCAAAAATATTTTTGTATTTGCATGACGGACATTTCGATTTGATAACCTCAATGAAGGCTTTCCATGGTAGAAAATTCTACTGTGAGATATGCGATAAAGCATACGATCACGTTCAAAGGCATAAGTGCGTATGGTATTGTAACGTTTGTTTCAGTAGAGAATGTGAGAGTACTATTCAAGAAAGACTTTGTAATGAGTGCAATCGGATTTGTCGCTCTGAGGAATGTTTTATCAGGCATAAAAACAGTAATGATAACGGAGAAAGTTTCTGTAGTAAATTTTATGAATGCAAATCTTGCTATAAGTTTCTAGTTACAAAAGAGAGACCTATCAATCTACATAAATGCTTCGAACAATATTGTACCATTTGCAAAAATTACTTTTCAGATGAACATCAATGTTTTCTTCGTAATATTCCTGCAAGAAAGCATAGCAATAATTATATTTTTTTCGATTTTGAGACGCAGCAAAATACAGGGGAAATACATAAAAATCCGTATAAGTTTTAGTTTCAAATCTACAAGGTTCAACATTAGTCTATCTTGATGAAACAAATCGCAGTGAATGCCCCCTATCATATCTATTGTATTACTTAATTTAAAAAATTCGGAACGCTTAATCCAACCTTCGTTATCTGTAAATATTTTACTAAATGTATCTTTGTAGAACATTTCGCATGTAAGTTGCGAAGTTTTACTGTCAAACCCATGATTTAATAGAGTTTCTATATAAGCTCTATATGGATACGTATTGCTCGAAGAAGAGATTAATCGATCGTTTAGAGTGACGTCCACTTGAGAAAACAGCGAGTGAAGGAAAAGATTGACGGGACCAATCTTTGAATCTGCTACTGTAGGTTTTCCATCCGTTTTTATTATTTTAGCTTTTACATAAAGAAGTGTTTGGGACAAGTCCATATACTCCTCTCCACTACCGGAAACAAGGAATTCAACAGGTCCTCCATCAAATACATTCGAAAGTGGATGAAACTGAATCCATTGCCCATTTTGAATGACAGTCTGAGTTCCAGGTATGTGAAAAAGTTCTAATTCTGATTTAGTACATTCGGGAGAATCTTTTAACATAAAAGCCATTTCCGTTTTTATTTTTTTTTAAATATGTTGTTTAGGTTAGTCAAAAATATCTCGTCGACGTAGCTTTTTGGCTTTCGAAGAACTAATACGTTGTCGAGTTTTACGCTTTCTTTTATACTTCCCTCTACCTAACATCGATTCTGCTTTCTTAACAGCTTTTCCAGCCAATAATTTTCCAGCTTCTCTTGATCTTTGTTGCGCGGCCATCTTTAAATTTTTCCCCTCCATGACATCAGAAGCTATACGTGTCCCTGTCAGCAAGGCTTCTTTTCCTACGGTTTTTGCCCCTTTCCAGAGAACAGGTAATGCCATTCGAAATATTTTCTTAAAAAATCCACCGATACCATAGCCTCTTTGATAAGCTATCTGTCCGCGATAAAATGGAAGGCCAGATCCTAACTGGCCGACATAATGATCTTCAAACTTTTTTGTACAACACACATAAGGAACACGGCTCATACTGTATGTAACGTGTCAAATTTTCAAATGATGTGTTTCATGAAATGTATTATCCCTTTTATAGGATATGCCGCAATCGAAAATGCAGAATAATGATCACTTTTCCTCTTTCGAATGGAACAAATTCCCCAGAGTTTAATCTTATTTCCATTTCAATCGTTTGAAAATGATTTCGAATAACAGGAACATAGTGTGGTCTGTCATAATGAGTACTGATGACTTCTCCATCTTTTCCATTTATTTTTACAATACGCAATAAGGGAGCTTGAATGTTTCCCACTATTTGTGGTTCTACGATATCTGTATAGATATAAAAAAAATGGGAAGGAAGCACGTGGATCAGCGACGAAGGAACTTTCAGCTATATCTTCTATTACTTGCGGTTCAAATCCTAACAGATTGCAAAGACCTTTCTCAAAAATTAGTTTTGCTCCTTTCTCGGTTTTAATATTCACACGCTTTGTCACAGGACTGTATTTAAATGTAATTTTGTTTCTTAAAGGTGGAATATTCATTTCGTTCAAAATATCTTGTACACTTTCATAATATCCAGGTGGTAACCTTCTTCCCTGGAGTTCTCCATCTTTTAAAGCAAACCCGAACAGATTATTTTCTTTATTTATATTATACCATTCGTGCGGATAAATTATTTCGGTTAATCCAACTTCCCATAGACCGTTTAATGTAATTGGTATAGGTAGCTGTGTCACAAAATGCGAAAGTGTATTTTCTGAGAAATGTTCTTGACTACTATCAGAGGGCAGCGTCACGTAGAACGACATCTCTAACTGATGAAATTCAGAACAGAATGTTCTCTTTTTATAACATTTTTACATCGGATACCCAAGCATTAAATTTATCCGGGTATCCCTGAAATTTGACAAAATACTGCATTTTTCCAGCCACTTTTTTTTTGTTTTAATATTTTTTCTACCGGATAAAATCCCGAATCAGATACTTTTTGTAGTTCATTTTCATAAAAACTACCTTCAATCACTTCTCCAGCTAAATCTCTTAATTTATAAACTACAGGTTTTCGGGGGATCATTCGATGAATTGTAAATATTTCTCGAGTCCAATTATTTTCGTAACCCTTCTCAAAAGGTCTTTTCAGCTTACTAATACGCACCGTATCGCCTGTTTTAAACTGGGGCTTCGTAACAGATTTTATCATATCACCATATAAATTCTTCCATACCACAGACTGATTATTTATATTCACTGATGAAGGTTCCATTTGAATACTGCGATGCCAAGTGTGATTGTAACTATAGATTAATTTATTCAACACATCTATATAGCAATGTGTGTTTAAACTCTCAAAAATATTTCCACATTTTTGTCTTTAGAGTCCTATTAAATCTTTCAATAATGCTCGCTTTTGTTTCGTTATTTGTTGTAAAATAATGAATGCCCTTTTCTTTAAATAAATTTTGCACTAATTTATTTTTAAATTCCGAGCCTTTATCTGTTTGTAATGAATCTGGTTTACGCTCTTTAAAAATGTTTTCAAATGCCCTTTTCACACTAGAGCCCTTCTTGTCTTTCAAAGGTATAGCCCAAGCATATTTCGAAAAAATATCTATGCATGTTAACAAATATTTATACCCTCTATTAAATCTGGCTAAATTTTGTAAATCTACTAAATCAGATTGAAATTGTTCGTCGATCCCCCCTACAATGACTCGGTTGCGTTGGAACTTGTGTCGCAGAGGCTTGTGAAGCGTATAAGAATCCCTCTTCTCTAACCATCTTTTGATCTCTTTGCTCTTTACTCCAGAAACACGACGTAAAGCATTGATACCACCGAAGCTTGCCGGTTGCGCTGGTTCCGATACGTCAGATCCAGAATTTTTGACATTACAACAGGAATTTTTATCAACGGAAAATGTTATGTTCACCCTCATACAACCGCTATCCAAATAAATGGTAAATCAAATTGTAAATTTATTTATACTTTTTATAAGCCCCTTACCTAATCCTCATAACAACCTGTTCAAACATCAGTTTCATAGTTTCACCTAAGTTAGAAAATTATTATCATTTCATTTCTTAAAATATAAAAAAATAAGAGACTAAATATTTCAATTGTAAACTCTTTTATATGCACAAAAATTTATTTACAAACATTCACAAAATAACTTGATAGGCGATTATTCACACGCATATATATATATATATATATATATATATACATATACATTACAATAAATTTAAAAATGAACCAACTAACCTGAAACATATAAATCTTTAGCATTATTTAACAACATTTCATAATCAATATTTTTTAGAAATGACACTGTAATATAATTTGCAATATTCGAATTTTTACTCACAAATTCAGCAGCAATGTTCACAATATTTATTTTACACACAGCAAGATCTCCATATTTCCAAAGTTTATCCGAATTGGTCATTGTGACACACTCATGGCCAAGCTGATTGCCGTATTCCATAATGCACCCACTACACTCGAAAATGTCCGCTATGTTTGAACTTATAGTCTCTTTTAAGAGTTCGATAAGAGATGTCGAAAGACACATTTCTGCATCAACAGGAGCGATTTGGTTGTCCTGATGCGATGGCATTTGCTTGAAAACTTCGTTCAAAACGTAGAACTGGAAAGTAGGCCCAAACATTAATGTAACCACCTCCGTTGTTATTTGTTTTCTTATTCGTATGAGTTGCTCCCATTCACATTTTGTAAGAACACATACACTTGGCAAAAATTCACGAGTCAAATCTTTGCGCACAAAATATCTCTGAAACGAAACACACGGGGAATTTTCAACTGTCACTGTTGAAAGGAACAAAGAGTCTTGTATAACTGCACACTGACCTTCTCGCAAAGAGGGACTTAGTATATCCTTATATTCCACTTTGTCCGAAAAGGCTTGCCACAGGTAAGGAGAGAGAGTGATTCCGCTTTTCGTCGGTATAAACTCGTTGTTTTCGAAGCGCACATATTTTCTTAAGTGTACACGTATTACACGAGCGAAATCTGTTATCACAACAAAATTTTCACCACCAAGATAAAAATGATGAGCAGGTAAAGAATCCAACTTAAACGTCGTTATACTTGCATCGTTAGTCATATTACTTTGACTCGAAAATCTAACTCTCTTGTTCGAAGTTGTAGGTTTCTCTGTTGCAACAGCACGCTTCATTTTCAAAAAATCGCAAGACAATATTTCTTACAAACTACTTTCTTCGCAACAAACAAGAGGCAACTGAATTCTTTCCCAAGAAAAATGGCTCTGTTGCTTTCGATGTGACGTCAAAACAAAATGGCTGGCTTAGAACCAATAGGAAAAAGCTTGTTATCTTATAACACACCTCCTTCGTGACGTATTCCATTATACGTCAGACAACATGAACAAACACGAGATACTTTCATCGTTGCCGCAAGAAAAAATAAAATTTTGATAAAAACATCGTTGCCACAAAATTAAAAAAAAATTATCTCTGACAATATTTCTCACATATTTTAGAAACAAACACTTCTAATTTCACTTTTCCAACAACTCCACTCGATTTCAAGATGGCGGATTCAAAAAATGAACACGTGGAACAATCGTCGTTGCCACAAAATCAAAACGAAACTTTCCCCCCAAATCCTCGTTGCCATCCAAAATACCTAAATCCTAAAAATCTCCATGCACTTCTACTTCCACTTTCAAAACAAACACTTCTACTTTCACTTCGAAACAACTCAACTCCACTCAACAAAATGGCGGCACTTCCGGTCACGTGACCTCTGACGTCACTTCCGCCGCGCAGTGGGGCCATATCGAATATTATTTTTATTTATATATTGTTATGTTTATTATTTATAAATTATTTAATATTTTGGAATATTATTTATTTCTTTAGCTGAAGGCAGAAGTAGTTAATTTATTTTAAATTTTTATGCGATGCACGTTCAGTTCTGATTATATTGCTAGTTTTGGTTTAAAACGTTGCTCGTAGCGTCGCATTTTCGATAGCCGGAAAATAAAATGCAATAACTTAGCTATTTGTTTAATTCATGCTGTTCTAGTCATAAATTAATTTTAAACATTAGTAGCCAAGGCTACATCGTGGTGACCCTGATTAATTTTCGAAATGTCAACAAATGACTCTTCTGAAACTGCTATGAAAGATACGATGCAGTCACCGGAGCTTCATAAGGTGTGTGTAAAAATACCTTCTTTTTGGACTGATAAACCGGAAATATGGTTTTTTCAAGTTGAAGCTCAGTTCAAAATTAGTAATATCGTTTCAGAAGAAATGAAATTTAATTATTTAGTTTCACAGCTTGAACCTAAGTTCGTCAAAAATATTTGGAACATTGTAACGAACGATAGTGCCACAAAATATTCGGATGCTAAAATTAGGTTATTAAATTTATTCTAAGAAAGTGAAAATGTACGTATTAAACGTTTGATTACTGGTATCGAACTTGGACACATGAAACCAAGCCAACTTTTGCAGAAGTTGAGATACGTTGCTACTACAGATGTGTCTGAAAATCTAATCAAAACTTTATGGCTGGAGAAGCT